TTTGAGGGGGAAAAAAAAAAAGAAAAAAAAGCAAATCCTCGCTGTTTCTCAGGCATTGTAGGCAATGAAAACGGCTATTGCCGCCTGGTAGAGAGCCCAATTATGAATAATGTGGATTCTCTCCCCGCACAAAGGATGAAAGGGAACAGGGCTGGTGGTGACATTTTAAGACCGGAGATGTAAGAATGAAGCTGAGCCTCGTCGTGAGCCCAGCTCTACCCCAGCAAAGAGCCGCTTGCTGCAGTCAATTGCCTTGCAGCGTGGCTCGAAGCCCTGCTATTGATCTGGCATCTGCTCTGCGCAGATAACCATTGTCACTGTGCCACGGCTGCAACGATGGGATCTGAAAGCGCTTTCCAGAAGACGTCTGAGGGCTGTTTTCCTGCTCTTACCCACAGCTGCACGCAGGCAGAGGGTTTTTTTTCAGGGAGATCACGAAACTCTTGCAGATTTGCGGAATTTGCGGGCCCAAAGAGAGCATTAAATCACCCGCTCCAGCTTGCTCATCGACCCAATCCTTCAAACCCCAGCCACCCGCCCTGCACCGAATGCTCGAGCTGCGTGCAGGGCCCCCCTCCACCAGCAGCCCCCCCAACCCTCACCCAGATGCTGGCTTCCAGCCATTTCATACGCTGCAGTTTCCTTCCCCCAGCCAGGTACTAAACGCACCGCAACCAAGCCACCTCTCAGTCCCCCCCCTTCTGCAAGACAAGCAGCGAGAGCTGTCGAAATCCCTCAGCAGAAGGCGTTTTTCTCCTGCCCCCGGAAGGTTTGCCAGGTCTGCACCCGGAGGTCTCAATCCTGACAGCTCCCGGCAGCGGGGGGAGGTTTTTAGGCAGGCACCTTCCTCCGAATTTAGCGAGAAGCGGTCAGAGGGCGGTGAGATTGGGCTGCCGGCGTCTGCAAACTCCCCCCTCCGCCCCACTCAAGCGCTTCTTATCCACTTGGCAGCTCTCTCTAGTCTCCAAAGAAGGAGAAAAGGAAGGGAAATTAAAAATAAACGAACCAAGAGATACACATCCATCAGGAGCCAGGCGTTGTCAGCTCAGGTCCCTGTGCAACTGCTTCTTTAATCAAAACCTCATGCAGTTTAAGCACTTGACAGAAATTCTAGAACAGAGATCTTGTTACCCTGAACAGGAAAACCTGCAACCTTGAAGAATAAAATCACATTTGCCTGATGGGCTCTATTTTCTTTATAAATCATGCTAAATTATGCTAATCCCATTCCTAGCCTTGACACCTGAGGTTTCGCCCCGCGGATTCCTGCGCCATGCACGGGTATTTCGAGGGGGTCACCAGAGGTGAGGAGACGAGCACGCTCTCGCGCAGCAGCTGAAGATGTGCCGTGTCTAAATCAGGCTGTGACGCCAGCCAAAAAAACTTTTAAGAGGCTCAAATCCGGAGAAGGATCGCTGATGGATGTGCTCCCTGCTTCGACCTGTTTGCGTGGAGGTGGACGTCAGCCACCTTGGCTCCCAGCTCTGCCACTTGCCTGCTTGCTGTTGAGACAGCACCAGAAACCACCCAGCTTTCTAGAAACTCCCCATATGCCAAGGCTCGGAGAGCTCTTTCAAGCCTCCAGCACGCAGGTTATCTGCCTCTCCTGGCTTGGAAATGTTTGTCCCCGAGGAGCTGTTATTTAATATCTTCCTTAGTTACCAACGGAAGGGAAATTTTGCCCATCGTCCCGCGGCTTTCCAAACACAGATGGGATTTATTGAAGTTTCTGCCTCCCCGACCTCATTAAAGTTTTATGGCACGGCTCCAGCCACACGCCTCCTCCTCGCCAGGTGCCCCTCAACAGCCCCACCGGGGCTCAGGTCTCCCGGCTGCTCTCAACATCCTCGGGCAGCTCGAGCAACTTTCCTCCTGGAACGGCTCCGCTGCTGCTTTTCGGGGCCTCACGGGCACCCTGGCTCACGTGGGAGCGTGGCACCCAGCAGCTCCTTTTGTAACAGCCCCAGCGGGTGGGAAAGCAAGAGGCAGCACGAGAAGGAGAGGAAAAAAAAAGAGGTGAATAGTGCAGGAACGTGTCCGAGCTGTGCTGTGGATAACATAAACTGGGGGCCACCCAGGGATGAGCTGGGTTTTATTGGCACTGACTTTGGGAAGGAGAAGAGGGGGTGTGAGAGCTGGGTTTTGGTGGGGAGGTGCAGCAGGAGACCCCAGGGGGACATTCATGGTACCCCCAGCACGTGCATGCAGGGAAGAGGGTAGGAACTGGGAGACCTGTGGTCTTTTGGGGGGGGGACTTTTCCCCCTTGTGGAATGAAGGAGCATCAGCCCAGCCCAGCTCGAGTCCTGCAGGCTGCTCCTCTTCAGCTCTGCTCCTCTAAACTGCTTCTCTTAAGCGAAGTACAGCACTCGACTCAACGAGCACTCAGGTTTTCTCTGAAGCCACGCTGCTCCACAGCCTCCGTAGCTCTTGCTTCATCTCCAAACACTGCGGTTTTGTCCAAAAGAAACACGCCGGCTGCTTAGCAGGGCAAACTCCCCGTGACCTGCTGAGAGCAGGGCAGCCAGAGCTCGCTGCCCCGAGGCCCTGAGGTGCCTGTGCAGTGCCCGAGCCCCCGCCGAGGCAGGGTTTCCCCACCACATATTTATTCAGAGGCTCTGCGCAGCAAGGACAACCCGGCGCCAAGCTTTGCAAGAGGCAGACCTGGCCGGAGTTCAGGAGAAAGAGGGAATGAAGACGCTGAACTAAATCAGTGCGTCCCCACCCGATTTCTACCCAAATCGGGAATTTCACGCACAGGAGGTGTTTTGATCAGGGCCCCACAGTTGCTTAGTAAGCACTGAGAGCAGGAGGGTGCCTGGCACTGCCCAGAAACCCTTCTTTGCACTGAGGCTCTTGCAAGCCCAGACGAAGTAATTCAGATGCAGAGACGAGCTCAGCTGCTGGGAAGGAACTCAAAGAAAAAAAGACAAAGGGAGCCTGTGCAGGGATGCAGAGAAAGAAAGAAAGAAGAGCTGCTGGCTCCGTGCAGGCAGGGGACAGTAACCAGACAGGCAGGCTAGGGAAAATTCAGGGATGGCTGGAGCCACTCCTGCTAAGTTGCACCCGACAGCAGGGGCTTGCACAGGGCTGCAGGTCCCCCAGCACGCCTGCAAGAGCCTCCGAGCAGTGCCTGGTGCGAGCCAGAGCCTGGAAGGGCCTGAAAACATCAGAGAGATGCCGGGAGCACAAGCGTGTGGATGGAGGCACATGGACTGTGCGAGGCACCCAGCCCTCTGCAGCTGAGAAATGTCCAGTGCCACGCTCGCCTCCCCAGAGCTCCCCACCAGCACGCCCGCTCAGGTTGCTGGCTGCAAACCCATGCAGAGATGGCTGCAAACCCATGCAGAGATGCCTTCTGCTCCCCGCACGACTTGCTTGCAGTGCCACCTGCCGCCAACGGCAATGCTCTTCAGATGCTCGGAGGGGACGGCAGCAAGCCACAGCAATGAACTTCCTGCTGTTACATCAGCCTTCCCCGGCCTTTAACAGCAGCCAAACTCTTGATCCAAAAAGCAGCGCTATTTCCCAAGCTGCAGGCATCCCGCGACTCACAGGCAGAGCAGCAGACGCCAATAAAGGACTTTTTTTTTCTTTCCCTTTTATGCAGCTTCTCGCTGGAGCCCGTCTCTTCCCCCGGAGACCACATCCCGAATCTTCTTGTTCATTGCTGCTTTATGCTGAGCGATGACTCTGCAGCTGAAATAACGTGGCATATTCTAGCTCGCATTTCAGACACCGTGAGACTTTTTAATAACGAGTTGCATGAAAAATTAGGGAGGCTGCAACAAAGAACTCCGACAGAGGTTTCCACAGTGACTCACGGCTCGGAGAGCCTCGCTTTTCCAAAGCCCAGCGTGAGACGATCTCAAGAGCCCCCGCACTCGGAGAGAGCCGAGTCCTCCCCCTCTGGAAAAAAACAAGGCCTTTTTAAGGAGACTTCCCCGGGGTGAGAAGCGCTGCGGGGAGCTTTGGCAGGCGGCTTCTGGAATCTTGGCTGTGCTGCCATCCCGTTTCCATGAGTGCTTGCGGGGAGAAGGCTTCGTCCCCAGCCCTCAGCTGCGCTGCAGAGGATGCTGTGGGAACTCGTGCTCCCCGTCCTGGGCTCCCCAGCTGGCGCCTTGGCTCTGCAGTGCTCGCTGCTCTTGCAGGGAGGTGGCAAACCGCAGTGATAAAGGGCACAGAAAGCTCTTCCAGCATCAGCTCCTGAAGCTTTATGGTGCCCAGCTGCAACCCACAGAGGCAGCGAGCATCACCTATGCCCAGGTACCCTACCCACGCTTTGGGCTGGCTCGCTGCCACCTCTGCAGCTCTTCGCCAGAGTTTGCAGCGTGATGGAGGAGGGATTTCTTCAGGTTAACTTTTTTGGCTGGTTTTGTTTCCTGCATCCACACAACCGCCTGCCAACAAACTTTGAGGAGAAGCAGCAGAAGACGCGCCCAGCGCATCCCCAGTGTGGCGGGTGACCAGTGCCCGGCTGCTGGGGCAGGAGGTGCAGCAGGAGGTGGCTGAAGGATGGGTTTGCCTGCTCTTTCCCCTCTCCTGAGCTCGGTTCCTCATCCCTTCTGCCTCCTGCGCTGGCTCCTACCTTCCTGTCCTCTGCCACATCGGTCACAGCCACCACTGTCCCCAGGAGACAGCACAGCTCCCTGCTCAGCCACTTCGAGTGCCCCCAACCTGGGCACAGCTCTCCCCACCCAGCCCAGCAGACCTCCCCAGAGGTGGTTTCTCCTCTGGCCTCGTGTTCCCAGAGCAATAAACACCATCAGCAGTTGGGAGAATGACAGGGTTCCTGCAGGAGAGATGATTTAGGGGTGTTTGGAAGAGGTAGGGGGCTGCTCAGCGCAGCCCAAAGGGGGTCCATCCCCTGGTGTGGCCGGTGTGCAAGCGGCTCTTACCACGTTCCAGAAGAAGGGGTTGAAGGCGATGGAGAGGATGGCTGCAATGAAGCCGGAGTCGGTCATGTCCACATAGCCGAAGAGCTGTGCCATGGCTGTAACATCCACCTGGGGGGAGAGAGGCAGTTATTGGGGTCGGGGGGTGCCTGCGGGGGCACCGAGCCTCATACCCAAAGGGGGTGTCTTCATCCCAAACCAAACGCCCTGCAGGAAAGGATCAATCTTTCAATGTCCCCATCGTTAAATCTTGCAAAGCTCAGGGTGCAAAGCCAAAAAGAGGGGTGGGGGCTCCCCCAAAACCGGTTCCCCCCATGCCTCAGGGAGCCCCGTGTCTGCAGCGGTGCCCAAAAAGACCCGGGTGCTGTGAGGACCTGCTGCTGTGAGGATGGGCACCAGCACTACAGGGAAACCCTACATGTTTCTGAGCCACAGGGAAGGGGGCACTGCTTCACGGCCTCCTTGCTCCTGGGGAGAGAGGACGGACACCCCGAGCCCCGCATCGTGCAGCCTCCAACTCGTTTTCCATTACACAAGACCGATGCCAACCCGTGGCACAGTGTGCACAGATGCACTTGCATCATTAGCTGCAAAAAAACTTTCCTGTCTTATGTAACAACAACAAAAGAAAACCCTTAAACCTTCCTGGTTTTCCTCCTTTTCTCCTTTCTGTTTTTCTCCCTATTTCCTTTTATCTCCACTCATTTTTTTCCCAGGACAGCTCCCTGTTGGTGTTTTTATGTGCAGCAAGCCATGCTGCTTCCCCATCCCTCCCCCTCTCCTTGCAGTGGTATGTGGATGAAAAACAGCCAGCGCCTTTTTTTTTTTTTTTTTCCTCCAAAAACTTTGAAAACAAAAGACAAAATCGCAGCCCGGCCCGAGCCTTTCCCTCACTTGAATCAACACCAAGACAACATTGAGACATGGAAGGATTCTGCTTCCCAAACACAGCTGTGTTTGCGAGTCCTGCGATGCCAGGGGATGGGAAGGGCTGGAAAAAGCGGCCTGACCCCTCCTGTCCAGGGGAGAAGCTCCCGCGGGCTCCTTCCAAGGAATCGGAGCGGTGACAGCAGTCACGGAGAGGGGCTGCTCGGCCTGCTGTCCCCTCACGGCCAAACGACGACCGCCCAGAGGACGAAGGGCGAGAGCAAAGGTTGAATTTTACGGGCAGGCACGGGGATCCTCGCATGGGTTCGCCCCCAGAACCTCGACCACCACCGAGTGCCCCCCGGGGAGAGCCCTGAGCGAAGGGGAGAGCCCCGAAGGCCTCTCCTCACTCCTCACCCTCCTTCCCCATCAGACCTCGTCCTTTCAGATCAGGAGGTAACCTGGGCACCGTGAGAGCCCTCCGGGGCCGAACTGTCCGGCCCTGCTTCAATGGCAAAGCCCAGGACCAGGACAGCTTCTTTCCTTCTTTCCTCTTGTTTCACACAGCGCCAGCACGGCCTGAACAAAAGCTTCTTGACCTACAAACTCCCGGCTGCCAACATCGTTAACATCGCGGCTCAACCTCCTTTTTCTCCTCCTCCTCAGCGACCAAACTCGCTGCTGGCAGCGGGAAGCAGACTGGCCTGTGCCTGGCGTGTGCTTTTCGGGATGAAAGGGGAGCCCATTAGGATGAGCTGTCTCGACAAGCAGGTAACGAGCACAGAACATCCGACTTTGCCCCCATCCTCCCTGACAGGCCATAAATAACCGCATCTCGGCAAGGCCCCAAAATCAGGGTGGATGGGAGCTGTATGGCCACACAGGGCTGGTGGTGGCAGCAGGAGGGGTTCGCCCCGCTAGGTGCTGTGAGGATGTGGCACGAAATGGTGCCTCCAGCAGCAATTAGGGCCGGGCAGGGCCACGGGAAGCACCTCAAGGCCCGTCCACGCGTGGTGCTGAGCATCCCTGCAGGTTTCCAGGAATCTGCCCCAACCCTGAGGGTTTATCACCCACACCCCTGCTCAGGGGGGGGACACAGGGCAGGGATGTGACCTCCAGCAGCCCCCAAACCTTCACCATCACCTTCCTCGCATGGGGCAGCGTGGCAGCCACCAGCAGCCACCTTCCCAACCCCACAGATCCCAGAACGACCCCAAACCCTCCACCCCCCTGCCCCACAACCCCCACGACACCCAAACCTCACACGGCACCATCCCACCCCCCTTGCCATGGTCCCCCCGGCCCCCACAGTGGGTGCAGCACGGCGAAGCGAGCCGGGATGGCTTGGGGGCACCCCCATAACCCCCCCCCTATGGCTTTTATCCCGGTACCTGCCCGTAGTCCAGGCCTTCCAGCCCTCTGCAGCAATCCCTCGGCCACCACCGCGACCCCGTTCCCCGCCGCCCACCCGCGGGGCCCCGCTCGCCCCCGGGGCCGTCCCGCAGGGCCATGACCGGGGCTGGACGGGGGGGGGGGGGGGGCGGACGGGGCTCGTTTTTTTTCCCCTTTTTTTCCTTCCCCACCAGCACCAGCAGCACACGGTGGCGGTGCTGGGAAGTGTAGTCCGCCACCAAGAGGACTACAGGGCCCAGAGGACGCCGCGGAGATGGAGGGGGGGGGAAAGGCAAGGAGGGAGCGGGGCCATTCCCCCCAAAAAAAGCCTTGGGGGAGCACCCACCGAGCTCGGTGCCTTCGTCTCGGGGGGTTCCCGGCTTGTGTCCGGTTGCCGAGGGGGGGTGGCCGGAGCTGGACGCTCGCTGGACTTCGCCCCGGTGAAGCAAGAAGGAAAAAAATAAAAGGGGGGGGGGGGAGAATGGAGATAGGAGGGGGATGGAGGAGAACGGCACCGCCTGCAGCCCCCCGGGGTGGGGGGGAGGTGGGGTTGGGTCCCCTAGGGTCGTGTGGGGGGGACAATGGGGTTGGGGAGGGGGACAGGGGGCTCTGAGACCCCCGGGATGTCCTGGAGAAGTGGGGGGGGCAGTGGGGGGCAGGGGGAGCCTCACAGCCCTTTGGGGTCAAATAGATGGGGGAAGTGTGGGGCTTGGCAAAGGGCATGGGGTTTGTGCCGTGTCCCGCAGCAGGTCAGTGTTTGGGGCCAAAAGCGGGGTTTTTGGTACAGAAATTGCTGCTGGCGTCGCTGCTTGCTCATCCCAGGGCAAAATTTCAGCCCGGCAGCTCTGGATGTGTTTTAGGGCTGATTCACCGTGCCCCGCGCCCTTCAGCAGGTGGTACTGTTTGTAATGACTGCGATGATGATTCCTGGCGTTATTTCGTTTCTGCTCTCCCCTCCGAGACGTTTCGGGTTGGTGCAGCTGGTGGGGATCGGTCCTGTGTGTAGGAATTCAGGTAGGATCAGCCCTGCGGACCCCAGAGGATCTCTGCGTGGGCCTTCCAGTTTGATAGACCTTAATTTGAGAAGAAATAATTTTTTTTTTCAAAAAGGAGTTTGATAGGAAGGGAGTGTTGTGAGTGAGCTGCAAGCATCCCCTCCAGAGATCTTTCAGAAGCGGTGGTGGGGAAGGGGATGGGATATTCGTGCACATTTGCCTGGACAGGCACCAAAAACATGCACGAGGGATGGTTCACGTACAGCCCTCGCTGGCAAAACACCATCCTCTGAGATCGTGCTTGAAAGATGCTGGGACGCCCAGTGACGACCCAGCTCAGTGGGAAACCAGGTTTCTTTATCTCCACTCATCCAAATCCCTCTCTGCATCCCCATTTCCCTGCCCGCAGGACCAGCTCCTGCACTTTGGACTCTTGCACGAGGCTGGATCCCATCCCGGCCGGGCCCTACGAACGCGATCACAGCAGAAATTGCAGCGCTGGCTGGTTTGGGGTGGGATGCAGACGAAAGCGCTGTGGGTGGGAGCAGCGTTCCCCGAAACGGATTATCTCCAGCTGCTTCCGGCCTCTTCTCCCTGGCGCTGGATAATTTTGCTGCGTTGAGTGTGTAATTATCGCCTCTGCCATCTCCCAGCGCAGGAGGATGTTTATTTTGCAAGTCCCACCAGCTGGGTCCTTGGGGCAGAGGGGAGGGCGAAGGGGACGCGGTGGGGAGAGCAGTGACGGCAGTGCTCAGAAAAGGGGGAAATGTCTCCCCAGGGAGAGAGCTAGCAGGGAGGAAAGCTCTCCAAATGGGAGAACTTGTCCCTGGCTGGCTGGGAGAGGACAAGGACACCACGGCGGGCTGGGAGGATGATAAAGCTTCTGGGGGGAAACACGGGGCAGGAGCTGAAATCCCTGGGAAGGAGCTGAGACTCCACATTCAGGAGAGAAAACGGGGGAGGAAAAGGTAAAATTGTGGGAAAGGAGCTGAGACCTGAAACGAAGAGGAGCTGAATAATAAAGCTTTTGGAGGGAAACACGAGGCAGGAGCTGAAATCACTGACTCTGAGTTTCTTTTAAAATTGTTAGGAGAAAAATATGGGGCAGGAACTGAAATCACTGGGTAAGAGCTAAAAGTCAGCATTCATGGGGGAGAGCGGGGTTGTCACAACCGTACCCATCCTGTCACCCCACGCTGGGGGGCACCCTGCACTTCAGGAGAGGGGGGCTGCATTTGGGGCAGGGGTACAGGACCCCCATGCTGCTCCCACTTCCAAATCCCCTGTTGAGGGGATGTTTTCCCCCGTTATAGGGCCGGGGGTGTTTGCAACAGCAGGGCCCCGCCACGCACCGGCCTTGGAAATATCCTGGCAGCTGTGCAGGAGACAAAGAGGGCTTTCTGCAGGGCTGCATCTCCCTTTGTGTCCCCATCCCTCCCCTTCTCCCTGTGGCGTGCCTTTTATCCAGAGCTCTGTTTCCGAGCGCTGAGCTAAGGAAGAGGGCACTGCCCTCCCCGTTCCCGAGTCCCTTCTCAGCTGGAAGCCTCCCAGCGGCCTTTTAAATCCCATCACAGCCCCGAGGGGTCAGCCTCGATGAATGTGGACTTGCAGAGTGCCTGCAGTGGGTAGAGAGCACTTAAAGTCATCAGGGAGAGGGGCGAGGAGCTGCCCTGCCGGAGGGAGGATCGATGGTGCGTGGGGTTTGTGCAGCCGCCGTGGCTTCTGCAGGCATCTGCTGCAGCTGCACCGAGGGGTTTTGTGCCTTTTCCTTGCTGATTGTCCGCAGGTCAGCAGTGCATGCATGCAGCGGGCTGGTGAAGGATGCTTGATGTCAGGTTTAATGGGATGCTATGGCTCAGCAAGCTGTGGTTTGGCTCAGGAGCATTTCCAAGTCCCTGAGCGCAAGGAGATGGCAGGACTCCCAGCGCAGGGAGTGCCTTCAGGTGGGTTTCCTTTGGAAACGGGGCACTGGAAAACACCAGCCAAGAGCACGGGTTAATTTTGACTCCTTAGAAGCCCAAGGGAAAGTTTCCAGGCCAAACGATTGACTTCCATGCTGAGAAAAAGGAAAAAAAAGGCACCCACAGCTTTAACACTCCCAGCTGACTTGCTGCCACCCCTTGAGAAGCAGGACAAGCCCATGAGCTCCTCTGCTTGCCTTGAACCTCTTACAATCCCCTTTTTCCTCATCTCTCCAGCCAAATGAATCAGAATTGATGTTCATCCTTAGGGAGGTTTGGCCAGTAGTGTGGTCACCGGGAAGGGCTGCTTCTGCTGGCAACTGGGTTTTTTTCCTACCCGATCCCACCACCCGCCTGGTGCCACCCCAGCCGTGTCCCTCGTTGACAGAGGTCCCATGGGAGCAGCTCTTTCCCCAATTCTTTCTGTCCCTTCCCCGGTGGCTGTGTCACAGCCCACAGGTTCAAACCTTCCACGAAGTGAAGCTGACCCCTGCGGGCTTAACCCTCAAAAATCTGCGCGGGTTTGGGACCGGCGGGTCATGCAGATCAAAGCCGGAGCATCAAAACACGCCGTAAACAAACAGGGCTGCACTGCAGAGACAAATAGTGCTGGAACACAGAGCTGAAACCTTGGGCAGGCCAGGCAGCCCCGGGACTGCAGCTGCTCCTGTCCTCCATCAGATAACGTGTTGTCACCGGCAGTGCAATGCTGCAATCCAGACCTGCAATCCTGGTGGAAATCCTCTAGTGTTTGTGCTGGAGGTTAGCTCTATTTATATTCTGATGAATGATTTACTCGAGTAATTGGCACACAGCTCCCCTATTACAGATCATAAAGAATTAATCACAAGATTTTTCAATACTCCCCTATTAATTTTATTAGGCTTGATTGAATGCGGCGGACTGGGAACAGACGGCGTGCGGGTCAGGCGCTGCTCCCAGTTACACCCCAGTTAGTGCTGGGGACTCGCACGGATCCTGAGCCCCGTAAATCTGGAGCATCAGCTGCTTTGCCTCTGCCTGCTCTGACTGCTCCTCGCCTCCATGTGAAAGCTGAGGGATGCAGAGGGGCCCTGATCAGCTCCACATACCCAAATCCTCCCCGAAAGCTGTGCTGGGGGTGGGCACGCTGCACTTCCAGCTCCGTGCGTCGGCGCGAGCCAGAAACCAGAGCCAAGCGCTCGGGAGCTCAAAATCTGCCCCTGGAGCAGTTGTTGAACATCGGCCCTGGGTGGAGAGCTCCTGCAAAGGGGATGCGTGGCGGGGCAGGGGGCTTGTTGCCACCGCAGGCTTGAAGATGCCCGTGCTGGCAGCGGGGCACGTTGCCAGGCATCTCCTCCTGCCTGGCAGGAGCCGGCACAGAGCCACTGCCGGGCGGTCGTGCTGGGGAGGGGGCGCAGCAATGGCACGCGGTGCTGGTTGCCCACGGGGGAGGTTTATAAAAAAAAAAAATCACCAGCAAGAAGTCCTGACACCCGCGGGAGCAGCGTGACGCATCCCTGCCCCGAGCTGGCAGCGTAACACAATTAATTCCCCGGCGAAGAAAAATCTGAAAAGCCGCGGAGAACCGGGGAAAACCTCCAAAAATCTTCACGTCGAAGGCTCGCGGGCCTCCGAGTCCTTCCCCTGCTTTTTCGCCCGTGGGTGTTTTTTTGTCGTGCTGCCACTTGTGATGCCCGGTGGGCGCGAGTCGTGATGCAGGGGAGGGGACGGCGCGGGGTGGGCAGCGCTCACCTCCTGGTGAAGCAATTCCCACCGGGCTCCTGATCACTACCCGAGTACTCAGTGGGTATTTACGTGGGAAATTGGGAACTTTGGGGGTAAATGGAGCAGCTCGCCTGAAGCACGGCTTCTCCCGAGCCAGGTTTGCAGAGCGAGGGGCCTGGCACAGCGACAGCCCGCGTCCCCATCTGCTGCCTGGAGCAGCTGTGCTGAAGGGCACCGGGACGTTCCTGCCAGCAGCTCTTGGCAGGAGCCAGCGAGGAAACCGCCCCGCGGGGAGAGCTGAGCCGGGCAGGGCGAATCGGAGAGGCAGCGGAGGACAGAGCAGGAGCCGTCCTTCCTGCAGGCAAAGGGGAACAGCGATGGCTTCCTTGCCTTCACCGTGAAAATATTTTGCACCCTCAAGGTCCTGGCACGGGAGCACAGCAAGCGAGACCTGTACAAGGGTCTTGTCAAGCTTCAGTGTGCCACGATGTCCTTGCTTCTGGGCAAAGAGCCCCCCAGGTGCTGGGGACCCCCAGCCCAGCCCAACTAAGCCTTATGAGGGAGCTGGGAAGAGCTGGCACGCAAAGCACACCCTATTTCCAGGGGTTCCCTGCCCCTCGGAGCCAAGCAACATGGGATGGAGCCCTCCGAATGACAGTCAGAGGGGCAGAGCCAACATTTGGGGAAGGTTTCACCGCAGCTCCCCCGCTCCCCGAGGCCGCCTTCATCACCGGCGTGCCTCTAACGAAGCGGAGGCTTTGCTTTCTGGGATCAATGAATCCGCCGCTCGTGACCTGTCTGCTAAGTGGGAAATCAGCTCCCTTCCCTCCCCGAACCCGTCTGAGCTCAGCTCCCAGAGCAGGCTGTGTCCCCGAGGCGCTCCGTGGCGCTTAATTGCAAACCTCTGGCTCTGATGAGGGAGCAGCAGCCCCCGCGCCGCCGCAGCGAGGAGATTTCGGGGCTTTGGGGGCAGAAATCCTCCCCAAGCTTTCCCTTCTCCTAAATGCCCTGATCCTGCACAGCCGGCTGCAGGGTTTATTGCCACTCTGCTCTCCCCCTAAGCCCTAAATCCCCCAAACCGTTTAAATCCCTCCAAAGCCCCTTCCGCGGGGACTAATGCTTTAAGGCGAGCTGGCTTCCCGAAGCAGGAGGCAGCTGCAAAGGTCACTGCCACCCCGTCACCTGGCCACAAACACGTCCCACACCCCAGGCATCCCATTTCCCTGTGGGTCCATCCCCATGCAGCTGCTTGGTGGGCACAGGACAGCTTTCCCCGTGCCTCCAAGTGACTCCGTGCGCCCCCAGCACCTTTTCCCATATGGTGCATGAATCCGAAGCTGAACCAGCCTCTGAAAAACTCCTCCAGGCATCTTCATCCCGGGGGTGCTGCGCTGCTCCAGGCACACAGCGTGTTATTAGGGTGACCCCATGAGCAGAGCAGCCAAGCCACCTAATGGTCCCCGCAGCAGGGGGACCCCAAGCAGCCCTGCTCTCAGACCTGGCACCCAGGAGTGCCACGGAGATCAAAAACCCTCATCCAGGACCCGGCAGGGGGACAAAGCCAGTGGGGGGGGGGGATGCTTCATGCTGTGTCTTACAGCCCCCACAGCAAGCACCCAGCGCCACGGAGAGCCAGGCTCAGAGCCTGTCGGGGCCAGCAGCCCTTCCCCAAATAGTCCCTAAAAGCTGCGTGGGTGCTGTGCCACCTGGGGCTTAAAGCACCCCAGGCCCCCCGGGAAGGGCGACGTGCAGATCTGGGACAGAAATGTGCTCGTGGGGGCGAGGGATGAGGGCTCCCACTGGGGCAGGCAGGTTTATCCCCAGGAAGCACAGAGTTGGCTATAAATACCTCCTCGGAGCATCGCTCCCCCTCCTCTTTGATGTTGTGCTGCTATTTACTTCAAACCCGCTCCCGCTGCTGTTATTTTTATCTTCTCTCCTCTCCCCTCTGATTCACAGCTGTTTACGAGCCAAAATGTCTCAGAAGGGAAGTGGGGAGAAGCTTGGGAACCCCGGGACAGCAGAAACCCCATAGCCAGCCGCCTCCCCTGCCCTGTTGTGGCTCCATCCAGCAGCAGGAGAAGGACAAAATCTCTGCCCCGTGGGGGTCCCCGCGGCCCCTGGGGCCAGGGGCTGATGGATGGGGGTGAGCTGAGAAACTCAGAGCTGAAACCATGCTCACAATGCACCCACGGCTGGTTGGGATCCAGAGGGATTGTAAATTCCCCAGGGGCTCATCCTGCAGGGGTCTGCGTGGTTTTGAGTCCCATCCCCAGCAATTTCGCACTGTTTTTGCAGCCCGGCCCCGGCTGGGCTCTGCTGCCAGCAGCAGCAGGTGAAGGAGCCCAGCAGAGCCCTTAAAACCTTCTCCCTGGTGTATCCCAAGGGC